GGAAACACTCATTTTTTTTTATTAAATTACGTGAAAAATCCACGTAACAAAAATTAATGACATGCTAAATCCATGTGGAAAATCCCACTTTTAATTACTGATATACCTTCATCTTCTTCCCCCGCTTCTCCTTCCTCCAGCCTTCTTTTTTTCTTTTTTTCTTTTTTTCTTTTTCCTCCAAGCAAACCCAAGAGCCTGGGTTCGCAAAACCTAAAAAGCAGCCATAACGAACAAACAAAATGAACCAACCAGTGTTAATATGAAGGAGAAAAACTGAAAAAGGCTCCTTGGTGCGAACCAAGCTCGTGGGTTCGCACCTCGCGAACCCAGCCTGGGTGCGAACCCACGAGTTGGGTTCGCGAGGAACCCAAGCTCTTGGGTGCGAACCCGCGAGCTGGGTTCCTCGGGGGTTCGCAAAGGAGAAAAAGAAAAAAAAAGAAGAAAAAGCCGGAGGGAGAGGATCGGGAAGAAAGAAGAGGGTAAATTAGTAATTAAAGAAAAAAATTTTACCATGTCATCAATCTTTGAGGGCAAATCAGTAATTAAAAGTAAAAAATTTAACCATGTCATATTTTTTGCCAGATGAATTTTCCACGTAATTTAATAAAAAAAACAAAATGAGTTTTTCCGTTAATTAACCTGCCACATCAGCCAAAATTTAACGGAAGGACTAAAAAGGGGCCGGATTTGTGAACAGTAAAGACCAAAAAGAGAATTTTTTCGGTACAGGGACAAAAAAAGGGCTTTTTCTTATAGTAGAAGGACCAAAAAAGGTATTTAACCAAAAGAAAACAGTTTTGCATATCAAATACAAGTAATACGAATGTCTTAATATTAAAAACTCAAAATCAAATATCGTATTAATGCCTTCTACTATTGAGTCTCTTCCACTCCAACTTTAACTTAAACTTTTCTCTTTCCAACTCTTGCTTTAGCCAAGAAAGTTTTGAGCTAATTGGTTTTATGCTTTTAAGCATAGCTCTATATTTTTGTTTCACAAACAAACCAATATCTAACATAAAAAGTTTACTAGCATCTTTAACTCCAAGCAAAGTTAACAATGCATCCATACATTCTTCAATGCTACTAGCATGTGCTTCATAGTTCTTCTTTGATGATTCACTCAAACTAATAGAGGTATAACTTTCAACTACATCACAAAGACAATTCAATTATCTTTGCATATATGCTGCACCTCCTGACTTCACTTTCTTCCCTTTGCATATGATTGAAGAACCAATTGTGTTTTTCTTCCTTTTTTCATTACTTCCTTCAGTTTGTGTCGCCATGATATTCACCTCATTAGAATCATCACTTCTTTCATCTAAATCAATAGCATTTTCAACCCCCACATCCTATTGTTTTGGAAGAATAAGACCAATAGTTAGAGTCTATGCAGTTTCATCGGTGACTACTATTTTGGCAAACATTATCTCCATCTCCATTGTGTTTTCTAATCCATGATGCTCAAACTTACCATATTCCTTGTTCTCCCATAATAAATATAACATATTAGAAGTTTAAAGTTAAAATTAACAAAGTAACATGAAAAAATTTAAAATCATTAACAATAAAAGAATAGAACTAACCGTTTTCAATGTAGTCCATCGCTGAGGAGTAGCATCAATTGTGCCTTTTTCATGATTCCACCCTAATCCTGTTTTTTATCTTAAAAGTTGATTCTATAAAACTCAATCGTATTTTAGTGCATCCCATCTATTTTTTAGTTGTTTATAAACATATTTTTTTTTCTCTTTTATTTAATTTTTTTTTTTCACATTTTGCTATCCTATTTTATTAAAAGTATTATTGAGACAATTACCAGTCATGATCTCTTCCACACGTACCTCACAAAAAATTTTAGTTGCCATTGCATCCCACTATGCCTTTGACCTTTTCTACCATCTTATATATTGAAATAATTTTTCAGTTTGAATTTGAAATCCAAATATGAAAGATCTAATAGAAATATACATCATGACACCAGGAACTAATAATATTCATGAGCTGAATTTATATATATATATTAATGTGAATTTTTGCTTTGATGTTATTAATATTTGGATGAATTTTATGAGATTTTACATGGTTTTCATTTTTTGTACAGAAAAGGACTTGAATGCAAAATAATAGGAGTTTTTGAGATTAATTGAACATCTTATGAAATTTGAGGGACTGAATTGCAAAAAGAAAGGCACTTCTTTGGGACCTAATGAATGAATCCTAAGTCTTAGGATCTAAGTGCTCGTCTTACAAATTTGGAGGACCGGATCTGCAACTTCACCATTGAAGAAATTGCAAAAAGAGACCAGAATCTCGACACGAGTGTAGTGTTGACACGTAGTTCACAGTATCGACATCCTGTGTTCAGCGTCCAAAATTTAAGTTTCCTATTCTGTTTTAAGTCTTATTTCTTTTTTAATGAGGTTTCTTAAACTCGATAAATATCCATTAAAAAATTAGTTTTAGGGCTTTGGGAGGAGACCAAGAGAGACTGCTAATAGGAATTCAACAACAAAGAAGATTAAAACTTGAGATTTTATATCGCTAAATTGGTTTTATTTGTTTTTGAATTATATTTTATGATGTTAGATACTCATACATTCATATGGAATTGTTGATTTTCTTTTCTTTAATTATGAACTGATTTAGTCATCTAAGACTATGATATAGTTTGATAAATTTAATATAGAGTTTTATGATTTTTATACTTTTAGGGTTTATTATTTTATATAAAATATATATTATTTTTCTTAATTTTTTTAATGATTAACCACCATTAAATTGATTTGGAGAGTATAATTGAGATCAAGAGGAGATTTTATGCTATAACTTCTTAATATATACTATGAATTAAACGAAAACCAGAAATGAACCAATGTAATTTGTGCAGTATTAGTGATAAGTGAATTTAATTTTCTATGTAAATTAAGAAATTTTAAAGAATATAATACATTTTTACATATTTAAATTCACATAAAAATATAGTGGGTTAATAAATGAAGATATGTTTGTTATAATTTGAGAAAATATATTAAATAGAATAAAAAATCTTGTTGTCACATAAATAATAAATATTTTGAAAGTATATTAATTTAAATTCTATATTAGTTGAGTATGGTGAAATTGAATGCCTTAGAATTTTAACTCTTGATATTATTCAAAGTCAATTTAGTTTTTTTTAATTGTTTTAATTAATTACTCTATTCAAGTCATTTAATTTCAATTGTTCAAATAAAATTAGAATTAGTTATTTTTAATACTTAATTAGTCTGTAGTCTCTGTGGGACAATACTTTATTTTTATCATTATATTACTTAAATTGACTAGTACTTTTGTTAGAATAAATTCAGCTCATCAAATATCTCAAATGGACCATGATTAGTGCACACTCGAATTCAACACCCGGATGTGCACACATCATTTTCCATCTCAAATACATTCTGCTTATGAAAATTTAATAACTACTCAAATATATACTAAAAATAAGCGAAAACCACAACAAAAAAGGAATGCTAAAACTAGGGAGAATTATCAGATTGAGCTAATACATATTAATGCCATCATCCTGGCAATCACTTTCCATTCTAACATATAACTATTCATTACAATAAAAACAATAAAAACGATAAAGTAAGCCAGACATGAAATTAACATATAAATGTTCATTACAATAAAAACAATAAAAACAAGACATGAAATTGAAATAGTCACCAACCGAAGAAATAGTAACTTCAAAAATACTAAAACAAAGTCTTGGATCCCCACAACTTTTCTAAATATCAAAAATACTAAAATATAGTAATATTCAATCAAAAATCTTCTAAGAATCTGCAATCAAAAAGAAAAGAAAGGGGAGTAAGGGGAGCTTACTTAAGGCAATGGCTTTGTAGATCTTGGAAAAGTAGGCCAAATTGCCCAAGATCCAAATCCTCAAGCTCCTTGCGCTCATCTCCGATGGCAATAGGTGAACACTTTTCTTCACATAGTCAATT